ATAATAGGACCTTGATGCACGTCATTTTTTTCCCGGATCAAGTTCGAAATGGCCGACTGGCGGCCATTTTCTTAAAGAATTCAGTTCTGGATCCGTATCCAAGACATGTCTGGATTGATCAAGTTCAAACTTCACACACACATGGTGCATCATGTCACAAATAGATATGTGCATTTGTTTCATGATCCGCTTAACAATAGCTGAATGATGGCCATTTTAAGACCGAAAATGCATTAAAATTACGTATTTTCACAATTCCGGAACCAGATCTCAGTCATGCATGGATGGATTTTGTTCAGATTTAGTACAATGTGTTGTACATATGCAGGTGCATTTCGGTCATGATCTGCTTTGAATGTATATGTCACTCAAATATGAACGGAACGGGGACGTGTCATTGACAATGACTTGTTGTAAATCGTTTTCTGTTAATGCTGTCAATACAATGTCGTCAGCAAATAACAGTGAGGTAATAGCTTGACCATTTAATTCAGGAGCACTGTTGATGCATTTATATGTGATAATATATTATAATAATTTGTCATTTGCATACATACTCCCAATTCTAATAGATTTAAAACTACTTTCAAGCACAGTCTTTCAATCTATGATTTACGTTTCTATTTATTATTTCTCTATCAGTTGGCTGAACCCACTCTTCAAATATGGATACAAGAACAAACTGGAAGTTACGGATATGTACGAGACTATGCCAGAAGACTCCTCTGAACAATTGGCAAACAAGCTAGAGAAGTATGATCTTATAAGTTTATTACTTTTAGTCCCTTGGACATGTTAACTTGTATACACATATTCCTATGTCCTATGAACTCTGTAGTTCAACTTTTTAACAATGTCGCACACACAACTTGCAATGCATTACATTTTTGACATTTTATAGCTCTGGAGGAATCTTGTTACTTTTTATATTCATAGATCCAAAATCATCGCTGTCTAGTAAAATTTTACTGTTTATTAGTTCCCATTCGGACGCAGTCTGAAAACCGGGACTTATGTTTTGACCTCTGTGCGTCTGTGCGTGCATCCGAGCCTGTATCTCCGAAATACCTGGGCCAATCAAACTTCACACATACATTATACATGGTATTATACATCTGCACATCAATTTGTTTCATGATCTGATTCAAGATGGCCGAATGGCGACAATTTTTGTGCTAAAGAATCATCGAAATCAAGCATTTCTCAGCTGTTTACAGATGGATTTTGTTCAAACTTGGTATATATGATGGACATTATAGGACCTTGATGCACAGGCATCATTTTGTTTTTCAGATAAGATTCAAAGTGGCAGACTGGCGACCATTTTGTTTTAATGAATGTGGTTCTAATGCCATATCTATTGCTTTAACTGATTATGTTCAAATTTTATATATTCATTATACATGTGTTCAAAAATTTTGTTTTAATTAATGCTGTTCCAGAGTAATATCTCTCAATACTCGTTTGACAATCAGATACAAATGTCAATCAGTTTAATGTTAAACAATCATCATAATCATATTCCTGACATGTTTATATTCCAGCTATTTTACTATAAACAAAACTATATATCTTAATTTTGATAACTAACTGGGACTGTGCCATGCATGGCTTGTTTAATACAGCTGTAGCAAAATATGGGAAATTTATCAAGTCTTCTCTAATTCATTCCAACAAGCCTAACATGTAAATTTGCCTAACCTAGCTAACAGATGAGTTAATGTTCATCCTATTACTCATTTAAATTTGTATGTATTTGTTTTCTTTTTTCTTTCTGCTTCAGGCAATGGAATAAAGAATTATGTAAACAGAAAAACAGAAAACCAAGTTTAACTCGTGCAATTATAAGGACGTTTGGTGTCAAGTATATGTTAATAGGAATTATTGTTTTTCTTGAGGTGAGTAGGCATGTATTTCAGTTCCTCAACGTTCAGTAGAACTCTTGACCAAACGTTTAGTGCCCACATGAAAAAAATCTCTTTTCATTGAGAGTTTGCGTTCAATTGAAACATTCACCAATGCAGATTATGACTAAGGGTTTTTCTATTTTTTGGAACTGTTAATTTAGTTGTTACATAAATAATATTGTAATAAAACATTAATAATTGCTGTCATTGTAAAAAAAGGTTGTGGAAATACATGATATTGCAACTCATTTCACAAAACAATGTTTTATTTTCACTCCAGGAGACGTAATATTCTCTGGCATATGTTGAATGAAAATGTATTTTGATAATTTTTACAAGGGGGTGCTCGACTAAGCACCCACACCTTCAAAATAAATATCTATTCTGAGTTGACATCTCTGGGCACTAAGTCTGACAAATATGGTAATGATTAGTATATTTTTGTTGTACTTTCTAGGAAACTGTAAAAGTGATTCAGCCATTGTTACTAGGACAACTTATCAGCTATTTCTCTCCTGGATCTACCAAGACACAAACTGAGGCTTACCTATATGCTTTTGGAGTCAGCATATGTGCCTTTTTACTTATAGTCACTCATCATCCATATTTTCATTGCACACAAGTTATTGGTATGCGTATTCGTATATGTTGTTGTGCATTGATATACAGAAAGGTAAGCCTCCAAAAATAATTGTTGTAAATCAAATTATTAATGGAAGTATATGTACTCTTTTTGATTTTGTGAATTTTGATCTGCTGCTGTTTTTGAACCTCACTATTTCATGGAATGTGATGATAGTTGGCAACGACAACAAACAAGTGTTTAAATACATTTAATTATCAGTAACACCTGGATAGTTCTAAAAACTAACCTCACAATAACATGCTGTGATTATATAATATGCGTGTGGTAATTGTTACCGGTACATCCAAATAAATTACATTTCAAAAAACAGGCTACCACTTAGCTGTCTTAGTCTTTCAATTAAACTGTTCAATGTATGTATGGCAATAAGAAGTGCACAGATACAGATATTCACACACACACACACACACACACACACACACACACGCACACACGCCACACGCGCACACGCGCACGCGCGCACGCGCGCACGCACGCACGCACGCACACACGCACACACGCACACACGCACACACACACACACGTAGCTGTACTCAACATTTATATCTAACCTCTGTTGATTCAGGATTAAAAAACATGGTGTAAAAAATTACCCATTTGCTGTATTTTTTATCTACACTGCTGCACTCCATGTACCTTGCTACTTGAAACTGTACTACCATAAATTTATTACTATTTACAGGCTTTAACATTGAGTAACAAAGCCTTAGGAGAAACAACTACAGGGCAGATAGTGAATTTATTATCCAATGATGTCAATAGGTTTGATCAGGTATGATAATATACTCAATATAAACATTTATGGCTAGCCAATTATTTAATTAGATGTTACTGTGCTGTTTATCTTGGTGAAGGTCGCTTTTACAATAAGTCTAACAATTTTTATCTGATCTTCAAACTTTGAAATCTTATCAATCACGATAAAATATCAACCAACGAAAGGCATGTTTCAAGTTATGCATGAAATTTTGGTTATAATAAAATAATGTTTATTATATAATTATTTTTAAGATCTGTTATTTACATGGTGCAGTAACTTGATATAAAATTAAACAAGATAAATTACTGATGCGGGTTTATTTGTGTTTTCATTTGGTTATTAGTTCCTGTTTGGACAAAGTTCGAAAACAGGAACTTGTGGATTGACCTTTCTCATTCCAATTCAAGATGGCTGAATGGCGACCATTTTTAATAAACATATTCATTAGATTGTCAAATTTTAATGTTAAAACTTCAACAAAATCAACCATTTCTGCCATTCCAGAACCAGATCTTGGTCGTGTATGGATAAGTTTTGTTCAAACTTTATACATAAATTGAACATTATGGAACCTAAATTCATGTCATTTTGTTTTTTAAGATTGATTCAAATTGTCTGACTCGCAGCCATTTTGTTTTAGTATATAAGTTCTGAAGCCACATCTCGCATCTAAGTACTGTTCATATTCAAACTTCATGTTCAAATTTTCTTAAACTTGTTTAACTGTGTTAAATGTATCTTGTTTTTGTGGTATTGAATAGTTTTTATACTAACAATTATTTGCCTTATCTGTATCATTGTAGATGAATAGCGTGGTATATGAGGAGAGAATATCTCTCCTTATTGTTTTTGTTTCCATAATTGACATGTCATAAAACTTGCCAAAACAAATTTTACTTAGATATGAACTTAAAACTTTTATACAATTCAAGTTACTGTGGAATACTTTATTTTCGCTGGAATTAATTTTCGCTGAAAAGGCTTTTTGAGCATTTTGTATGGAATTTATTTTCACTGATTTTTTATGAGTTTAATGTGAAATATAGGAAAAAAAGTATATTCGCTGGATTTTATTTTCACGGAATCATCCCTTCAGCGAAAATAGTGAAAATAAATTCCAAGCGAAAATAAAGTATTCTACAGTATATTATTCTATAAGGAACATGAAGTACATTTGTACATCATTAATATAAATTACTTTTTTTAGCTCCGCTGTTGACTTTGTCGAGCGGAGCTTATCATATGAGTGATTGTCCGGTGTCGTCCGTGTCAATGTTTTACTTTTTCGACTTCTTCTTGAAAACTACAAGCCTGAATGCTTTGATACTTGGTGTATATGTACCTTGGGTAGACCTCTCTTAGGTTTGTTCATTTCATGTTGATATCTTCAATTCTCTAATTTTGGTGAATATTTTTGTCATTTTTGGTAAAAAGTGATATTTTCGACTTCTTGTTAAAAACCGCAAGTGCAATTGCTTTGATATTACATATATAGGTACTACATGTGGACCTCTCTCAGATTTGTTCATTTTGTAATGATATCTTTAATTCTCTAATTTTGGTGAATATTTTTGTCATTTTTGGTAAAAAGTGATATTTTCGACTTCTTGTTAAAAACCGCAAGTCCAATCGCTTTGATACTACATATATAGGTACTACATGTAGACCTCTCTCAGATTTGTTCATTTCGTGATGATATCTTCAATTCTCTAATTTTGGTGAATATTTTTGTCATTTTTGGTAAAAAGTGATATTTTTGACTTCTTGTTAAAAACTGTAAGTCCGATTGCTTTGATACTATTCATATTGTTCATTTTCTAATGATGTCTTCAGTTCTTTAATTGAAATGTGCATTGCTAACAGCGGAGTTATCTCAGCCGATAGGCTGCTTGTTTTGTCATTATTATGACTTTTTTAACGTGTTATTTTCTGTGCAAAAATCCTTAGATAATATAATATTGCATTGATTCAGGACTTTTGCCATACAAAAAAAATATATTGCATTGTTAGTTTGTTATCCATGCATACATTTGTTATATAATCTAGGTTCTCAATGGTAATAGTTATATGTTTTTTCTGGGTTGCCTAACTTGGCATAAGTTTTGGAATAGGCTGTCATGTGACATCACGTATAAACATATTCACAAGAAAACTTGTATATATGTATATATATATGGTTTTTAATTACCTTGCCCGTACCATCAAAGATGGAAGGGAAAGGTATATTAAGGGAAAAATTTTGTCCGGCGTTGTCGTTGTTGTTGTCGTCGTCGTTAATAATTGTTATTGTGTGCATAATAACTTTACTAATTCTATTCCAAACTTTATCAAACTTGGTCACCTTATGCATCAGTATAAAGTCTTCCCTGAGTTTGAACAACAGATGTCCTGTATGAAAATATCATGCAAAAATTGAGAAAATCTGATAAAATATTTTGACTGTTTCTACTTGACTGATCACTGGTGATACACATCAAAGGTCACTGATCTCAGTGGAAATATGCATTGTTGTATGTGTTCAATGAAGCAAATGATTTATCGTGTAATAATATCATTGGTAATGTATCTCAGAATCCCATACTGGGTTTCAAAACCAACTCATGGAGAGATTGCACAGTCTGATACACATTTGCAAACCTACCAATAAAATCTTTACAGAAAACAAGATGTCAGAAAATCAATATAAGCACTGCTATGAACTGGGTGCCAAACTTTGATCAAGATCTGAAGCTAATAGAAAATCTGTTTAGTCAAAAGTTATCAAATCAAAAACAATACATAAAAAATACATTAAAAGCAAAACATTTCATCCACATTTTAAAAAGAAAATTATTCTAAAATATATGTATTCTGTATTTGACAAACAGTTCATTCGACAAATGAAAA